ATAACAATGAAAAGGTCAACGAGCTCGTGCCCCATCGGGAATGGATGGTGGATTGCAATACCAACTGCTTCAGAGAATAATAAACTTGAATAAGTTTTTTTACACTTACTCAAGTTTTCATCTTTCTTTTGTAGAAAACTCCATAAAATTATAAGATTTATCTCATAAAATTGACATGCCGAAGATGAACATTTAAGGGTATTCATTATGATCGAAGTAATTAAGATAAACAGCAATGCTTTTAGAAGAAAAGAAAATCCGACTGTTTACAGGATGGGTTATTTTTGCATGAAGAAATTTAACAAATTTGAAAGGGAGGTACTTTAGTCCCCCATTAAAGGTGGGAATCGCGATGGAAATACAACCGAATATTCTTAAGTTAATGACAGTTTAGGGACACTACCAAAATGAAAGAAGTGTTGTAAAACAAATCAAAGCAAATTTCATTAATCGTGGGATTTTCAAAATCTTCCTCAAAATTTTACCGTTCCATCGGGTTATCTGTAGAAGCCGCAGGCGAGTGACGTGGTCAATGAACCTCGAATTTGAAACTTCAAACTGGGAGTGCCCGTAAGTCAATCGCTGTCATCAGAAACGCCAGAAAATGTTAAATGATGGATTTGACACGATTCGCGTCTTATAGTCTTTGATCAAAGAAGCCATAAACAGACAAGCCGTCAGTTCACACCGGCCTCATAACTGAGTGGATGCCACCAACTCCCAAGGCGGCGACGAACTCTGATTTCACCATTACCCTGGATAACCTGGAATCCATCTCCATACTGCTCAAATATAAGATGTCCGCTGCTGCTCACTCTTCTTGATTGAAGAGTTTGAAACCGAAGGTGGAAAGGGAGAAATGGTGAACCTACAGCATGTGCACACACGAAATCAAGCTGTTACATTTGAATGCTCAAAATTTACGCAGATATGGCGTAGAGCTACTATCTGCCACAAAATATGTAAATGCACCACAACGCAGTGATGCGATATTAATCGAGCCGAATATTTAAATGTGCAAAGATTTAGTCTTTGCAATCAGACCCTACGGCCACGCCTAGAGTCGCCCGACCTTTCTGGGGGTTACTAGACAATCCTCTTTCGTACTGCCATGACTTAATACAATAGTGCAGAGGACTCGGAGCCGCTGAATAACAATGTGGATTCCAAAAACAAAAATGTCTAGTCACACGATATACATAAATTTACTATCATACTTCAGCCAACCTTTCACAGTTTCAGTGTGATCCGACTCAAATTTTACGCGGCCTATCCGACTGCTTTGAAGCGGATTTTGAAATGCTCCTGCGTTGCTAGACAATGTCTTGTCAATATTAACACTTCAGAAATGCCCAATTTTGACTTAAAGGGCCCTCAAAAAGAGCATTTTGATTATGTCATGATAATCCACTCCTACGGAGACCATAGACTCAGAAAATGTACCTCCCGCCCTTTTTAAGAAAGCATTACTATTGTCAGATTTTAGGCAACACCTTCATTACCAGAGGCGCAAAGGAAGGGTGGGATTAATTTATTTAACTATGGAAAAATAATAGTACGTATCCACATGCTAGAAGCGCAACCCAAAGTCTGCTTTAAGCACCACCAATGTATTTACTACACACGATTTTGTGCAACCAAGCACACGTGTTAAATGTGTGTTCAAATCGGCATTCAATCCACACAGCGAAGTTGGTAGTCTCATCACGAAGTACAAACAATGCGAACAAAATCCGATTGTGTTTTCTAGCAGGAGGTAAAAAAAAGACAGTGGAGACATCACCTCGAACATATCAAAGAGGGAAGGATTAGTTCACGTTGACATATTTGATTCCAGCCGGGCTCATGAAACACGAAGGTGAGTCATTCGCATGTCAAGTTGGGAATTGGAGCAGACAACATCCGGGTAGATGACCCAAAAGCGTCGGGGGTGGATACTGGCTGAGTAGTAGCGTGGCTTTTGTGGCATGAGGTTCATGGCCTTTTCTAGACTAGTGGATGGCGTGAAACCATGAGGAATACCATCGGAAAGTCCTGGCGTAGGTCACGTAATCTAGTGTAGTATTAACCATTTGAATAAAAGGCTGGATAGGTGAAAGAAGTTCTGCCGCTTGATGCAAGGAAGGCAAAGTAAGAGGAGGACACATTGTGACGCTTCTTGTCAGCACAACGAAATTAGGATTAGACTAAACAGCTTGTGCTTAAGTAAGACGATTCGGAGGAATCAAGAAACTCATCACCTCTCAACTGATCTGTGAACTAACATTTAACCTTCTGTGAATTTTGATGAGAAAAATCCCAGGCAATCATTACTCAATAGGCTGTTGAAATGTCCTCCTATCACCGGTTAATCGTCTCTGGTGCCCTCAACCTCACTGAAACATTTACGACGCGAAGGAAACTCGAAGGATTGTACTGTATGACAGGCAATTTCAGAACGCTTCACCATAAATATTCACATCTTTTATCCATGCTTCCATTAGCCCCAATCAAATACCCCATTGAATGAAAACATGTGAAATACCCACACATTAGAGGATTATGTTTGTATATACCTGGTAGCATGTTGTAATCCACTTAGTTTGTTACTTTAAGGAGTAGTTTGAAATGTCAAATTGTGGAAAGTTTAAAACTTGACTCCTATTTACAAGTACATCGGCTCAGAAATTGCCACAAATTGTCAATGAGGAGCTTAGAGAGACAAGTGTGTCACTAACTCCCGCATGTGCTTGTCATGGTGCACATAAAGTTCACGTGAAATTAATGTCGCGCAGACAGCTCGAAATATTACCTATTGTGGTGTTGGTAAAACGGTTTGATGGCAGAGTTACACCCCGGGCTGAAATGGTAACGATGGGAGTGAGTCACCCTCGTGTCACGAGGGCGATGACCTAAAAACAGCTGTATAGGAGGGGATTGGAAAAAGCTGCAGTGGAAGAGAGAACAAACTACCAACACCAATGTACCATCTAATGGGAGGTTAGAAGGACAAAGAAGGTAGAAAGCTGAACGAGGAAAAACAAGTGTCCAAGACCGAAAAGAAAAGCTTGCTGTGAGGAGATGGGCAAAGTTGTGATTAAGTAGGTGAAATCAGGCCAAGACAATTGTTGTACCTTGTTAATCAAGTAGCGATATGGGAGCCTAGCCTACACTTATTCCTTGTAAAATGTGAAAAAAATAAAAGTCCTTTTCTTAAAAGATTAATCGTCTCCCGCCGTCAAAAACTTGTTAAGCTGACAAAACAGTTTCAATTTGATGGTGGTTAAACAGCATCGTGTACCTGAAGAGTTATTCGGTTTCCAGTTTTATGAGTAAGAAAGCATGCCTTTCTGTAGTCATTGCTCAATTAAGAAGGTAAAAGTGAAATTTTATAGCACATCTCAATATGCTCAAACACAGGCATCTAACTTGTTGACGAGGAGACGCTTGAAAAAAAAAAATGCTGAGAAGCGTAAATCTGAGCTGGAACTAGATTTAAAATGAAACTTTTGGGGCGATAGAAAGGGGGATAAGGAGAGAGTGGCTAAAGATCAGAAAGTTCACGCACCAATATTCGAGAGTTGAAATGACGGATTGATTGAGACCTCCTCGGCATCATCAATTAACTCCTTATCAATCTCAAAATCGGGTACATCCTTGCCCAAACTGCCTTCCAATCTTCGCAACTGACCGTAATACGATTCACCGATGTTTATCAGGGCACTGATCTACAAGATAATTAGAAAGAGGGTGAAATTCTATATTACAAGTTAAATATTCTTACCTGGAGACAGAGTTCTCCCTCCAGAAGAAGTGTTTCTTGCATTACAGCTTCCTGATCAGGCAAAATAGGACATTCAAACTGGCTGAAATCGGAGTGAAGCCATTGCTGATAGATGGCCTCCCTCAACTGGCCGAGTGTCATTTGGACATCTGATTGCTCGGACAGCCACTCGAGACAGGCTTCCAGCCATCCCTCGGGCACAATAACCGCCTTGGAGTCCAACCAATTACGCAGCGATTCAATCTCGTCTGGGCGCAATACGACCGACGACATTGGATACCAACTGAAAATGCAGATGTAATCTGCTGTTTAGATTTTTCAGGAAGAAATCGCTCAAGTACCCTTGACCGCAAGGAGCTTCGCTGCAACAGCTCGCACAATCATGGTGCAATTCTTGTTTTTGCCACAAATCAAGCCCATGACCTTGACTGCCATTAGTAAAGGTTTGTTAACATGTTTCAAGTGTGTTGCTACTTAGCTACTCAGGATCGCAACATGAACTGTCACTCAACTAACAAGTCGACAAAACTAACAAGACCAAAGGGGAAACGAAGCGAAAAGGTCAACACCCCGTGAAACTCCAAATCTAAAGAGAAAAGGTCAGTCTAGTCACGATTCAGGGCGACCAGTCCCTCCCAGTCACCTCACCTCAACTTACGGTTGGAATGCTACAAAACCCCTGCGCAAAAAACCAATGGCCGATCCCAAACAGATTGGCCCGGAATATTACAGGATAGTGGAGCCCATCAGCAATATGTAAGCCGCACTGCAATCAGCCAGGTAAAAACTTGTACGTTAGGTTAGGATGTCAATAACCGAAGATCACAGCAACGTTCCCAAGGGGTGGGACTCCTGTCAATTATTAGCACAAACATTCCCACAAATGAGGAAAACGAGGAAGCAACAAATAAGCACAAAATGGCTAGAAAAGTGACATTTATTTTATTGATTCTTTAATGTATAGGAATTAAGACGCGGATGCCACTGATACGTATATACATTTTACAGAATCAGTAAAAATGTAAACACAGAGAGCCCACATGAATATCTAGTCTCTCAAGTGCAAGAGTGATGTTGATGAAAGTACAGTAAGAGGATGAGAATCACACTATAGGTCGATCACTGTATTTAGCCGTAGACACTTTCATCGCTGTAGGCAATGTAGAGAAATTTGTCCGAGTCCCGGTACTCCTAGAACAGAAAAACTATGAATACTTGGAAAATACAAAAGCACAGTCACAAATGCCACATAATACGATAAATTACACCAATCCTAACGTAATAAGAATATTGATATTCACTAATTGATCAATGTCGAGCTAATGGTGTACAGAGTCAGAGAAAAGTAACTGCAGTTACTTGAGGAAATTAGGAAAGGACACAAACCTCGTACAGAGCGCCCATTGTAGCGCTTGTGGGTGGAATCGTGTTATCAACAAAGAAAAAGAGTGCCTGTTCCGGCTTTAGTTCTATCCGCTTGCGAATAAGATAGTAAAACTGACCAACAGTCAAATCGACGGGAACAAGATACTTGTTCCTATCAAGATTTGGAACATTTGCCCGAGGCGATTTCTCCACAATTACCTGGAAGTAAAAAAATACTTACTACAAAGATGTATTCGGGCATATCTTGTACAAATGTGGGTAATCCTCCGAGAGACCACCATCACACGTACTCAAGGGTGATGAAAACGCAGTAGAGCAAGAAGAGGAACTTACTGGAACGCAATTGGGATAACGCTTGCTAATTTTTTCCCCCTCCTGCAGCCGTTCCTCGAAGGTGCGCTCCTGTTTGTAGGCAAATTTCATTGTCAACCCAAAATGGCGTAGACTGTCAGCTGACCAATGACTAAAACATCAATTTATAGTATCCGGGGCATATTAAAACAAACACTTTTTTGTAAGATCCACTATTATTAGTAGAAATTGCCTTGAAACAAACCTGTTTATGGCTTAAGAAACGTAACGGCATTGCTTGTTTACAGGCGCTGTCGGTGATTTTAAAGTGATGTTTTAGTTTAGAATACCAAGTAGTGACTTCCACTTTTTGTGCAAACTTAGGATTTTCAAAGTTTTGCCCTAATAATTGTGCTCTTTAATCTAATCATTTTAGTTGAGCTACTCATAACTTACACCACTGCGCTTGTAGACGTATTACGGCCGGTTGTTTTCCAAATAATGTTCACAGTATCAACCATTATTTGCTTTTAAGACAATTAGTCTGTCAAATATATTTTTTATGCCTAATTTTAACACATTTAGCCCATTTTATGTCCAGGGGTCTCTATTGCTTAAATTTGCAGAAGTGTTTGCATCCGTCCGCGATCTCTAAATGCTAGAATTGTATTTCGACATAAACTTGCTCTTTGGCAAAAGATCTTTATATCAATGAAGGCGTGTCGTAGCACTGATTTATTAAACAGTTCCGGAGTAAAATTCTTAGAACATTCAATGCATCTATTGTTTCCAAATGCAGAAGCCAAGTTGGATGCAACCATGTATAAATATTTGCCAAATCATAGAGAAAACCTACATTTCATTTATACTTAACCTATTTTTGGAATTAACAAGGATACACCTCTTTCCTCCTACAGTTTATTTTATGCGCTAATTATCTTGACTTCGGTTTCTTCTGAGGTCGACAGTGCCTTAAAGAAGCTCCAAACTGTAAACAAGTGTAATTGTCACTTCCGAGGCTAATCAGATATTTGGTCCACCAAGTTTTAGTTTTTTATATGAATCTTTATCTTATAGCTACTTGTGCCATTGAGAGTGTCTTATGCATTATCACTGCACTGAGCGGAGCCCTGATGATAAACGTCGAAAGTAAGGTCACTCTTGCAAAATTTTGATCCGCTTTATCAAAATAGTTGGTAAACCTACACACGCGCACGTTGGTGGGCGCAAGGTGCTACAACTCCTTGCTCTGGTTGCAATCCTATAAATACACGATTTCTAGTACCGATCTACCATCCCTTTTGTAGCAGCGCATCAACGAGATCTGGTGCTCTTGAAAATTTTGAGTAACGATGACGATATCGTGTGGTGACAAGCTGCCGTCAGAAGTGGAAAAGCAGCCACTTGAAGTGCTTCCTGCAACCTTGAGCTGCTATTGGTTGCATCAGGCTCTTAGAAATGAACACTTCGAAAGGCGATTTATCAAGATGGAATGAACTAATCCCTCCTCACTTTACCGTTGCAAATAAAAAATTCGGGCTGAAAATTTGTCCGCCCCCAAAGTGCTTTTGCGAAACAGTGTGCCTACACGCCACCTACTTTAGTCCATCCCAATAAACCTATTTACTCGATCCCCTTCCTCTGAAGCAAAGCGTCTTTTCTAAACACGTCTCACTGTGTGTTTTATTTTATGAGGAAATATGGGCGTTTTAGTAGTCAGAAGAAGATAATAAGATGGGAATTCGTGTTCTCTCAAATGTCAGAAACTAGGGCATGCTATGATAAGTCGTAGTTCCTTGCCTTCTGGGCAGGAAAAGGTGGATTGCACAGGGACAGCACTTCAATGCCTTCAAAGCACATCGACGACGAGTAATGGTAATTCCGTTGTTGTTTAAGAAAGATTGCTGAACGTATTATCAATTCAGTACCAAAGAGGTTATTATTTCCTAGATACCCTGCATGTTGACCCGGGTTATTAAGTAGGATTTATCATCCAGTCATCTTCCAGTTCCTTTATACTTTTCTTAGCAGTTAATATTTCAACAGCACCGAAATCCTCTCCAAAGCCAATGGTAAGATAGGGCGGGGTGGCTGTGCGAGCGGCGGAAGGGCCCACATAGGCACACATCCTATTCCTGCTTTGAGACCTGTGATAGCTCTTCCGCTACATGGACTTTGACACAATTGGTACTTTTACAACCGCACAATGATTTCCCGAGCCGAGAAGACATTGGACTCCAATGTCGTCGATGCACCTCGTCCGCGTTAGTTTATTTTTACATTTGTATATCTTTTGAAAACTGCATTGTGAGAATTCACTCGCGTTACACTGGCCAGAGCTGGATGGCCCTCCATAACGAGTGCATGTCAGATGTCACCCGTTATTCGTAAGAACATGTAGCTAGGTGCAGACCTAAAGTTCGGTATCCATTCATCCATTCCACTTTTTTTTCTGCTTCAATGCTCCCCAACCGAGAATCTGCCATCCATTCAACTGCCAGGAACGCGTAGTACGTGCATCGTCACATATCATGACACCTTCATACCGAAATTGCTCCAATCGTTCAGATGTGATGGCATCTAAGGCCGTCGCTTCAAAAGTCTTCGTGAATTAGGCCGTCCAAGCAATTTGCCTCCAGAGTAGTTTGGTCTTCGCATCGAGGATAATTTCCGGGGTCTTTGGGCGGTTAGATTGGGATAGCTAACAGCTACCAACAATGGAGCATCTTGCGTCATCCACGAAGACGTATTACTGTTTACACCAAGTGTAGAAGAAAGTGTTAGGATTAGTAAATGGGGAGGATTGAAAGACTCAATAAAGTTGCTTAAAAGGGCCACTTTTGGCCTTGACTGAAAGTAGGTAGTTATCACCTTCCCCAGAAACTAGTCACGAATTATGAGCAACAGACGACCAAAAAAATGCGTTTCGCATTCAGCATTGCTTGCCACGACAATTTGCAACTCGGGGGAACTTGAGAAGCGCACGGGGACTGTTTACATGCATGCATTACAAGGCGTGTGTAGGGATGCTTCGGTCTGTCGATACTACTCAGTGTAGTCAGTAGTACCTTCCCCTTTTTGAACCGCCATACCACAGAATAATAGTTGAGCGAATCGAGTATTTTTTAAGGTTTCCCGTCCTACTTTCGAGCTTATCGGCAACTTTGAGGTGTAACATTTGGCGAGGGTGTGGTTTGGAGTAGCAAAGAATTTAGTGGATGCAATTCGGGTCGGTTTGCGTCGCGAAACAATGACTGACTTGACGGAAATTGTAGAGGGACTAGTGAAATACATGCGATTGTATGCACTCCCTACTATCCTCCCCTACTTCGAATTCCCATATCTTCAAATCCTGGTTGAGCCTGACTCCGGTGATTTCAACAATGCAGGAGCTTCTCATTTAAAAAAAAATTGTTGACTAGCATTTGGAGGTGATCAGCATGCGACAGCGGAACCCACCACCCAGAATTAGATGGATCGAACAATCCGGATCGGCTGTTGAAGGCCGAACCACATCAAGGAGTTCGTACTTTGGATCGAGGAAAAGTAGAGGTAGCTGGTGGTGAGAATAGTAATGGAAGAATCCAGAACTCTTGGAGTGACAACAAATTGCTCCACATCAACCGGGAAGCGAAAAGGCAGAAGGCAATCAAGCAGGTGCCATCCATATGCATTGAAAGATGTCAGTAAGCTTTAAAAATTGCCAGCAGCGCATTCATCACTTCCTTCACGTATGCTGTAAAAACGCACTGTGCATTTTAAATTTGCGGACTGAAATGGGACAAGAAATGACTTTGTACTGCAGTGTTTGCTAGGCGACCATCCATACCATTGGCTATGGCCAAACCACCCACTCAACACCCGGCCAACACCGCCACTTCGTGCCCAAATGACTAAGTCCGATTTGTAAGTGTAGATGAAACTGTTCACCATCGAGATCCACTCCACACAACTCGAGGATGTGCAAGAACCACTTCTTGGAAAACATTCAGGATTGATCAGTTAGAGGAAGGAAATTCCACAGGAGGGCGGTGCTACCTCACCCTCATTTCTCCCCGTGAAGACTGGTCTAGATAGTCCAACGCGAGAGAGACACTTGGAAAGTAAAAATAAAAAACGGAGCCGAGTAGATCTAAACCGTTTCCTTCTAGAAATGAAAATCTTCTCCATTCACAGCATATCCCTATCGCCTTGGGACGGTATTGGAGACTGTGACAGTAGCAACGTAAATTAAGAAATCATTTACCTTTTAGTAGGGAAGGTTGGAGGAACTCACCTAGTTAATTTATTCAACTGATAATTTTCTTCAAACCAAGTTTAAATAAGGGTTGAAAACTGCGGTAGTATCTACAATGGAAACACGACGTGAAATACAGTCGGGTAGAAAATACTACCGCCACTTTTAAGCATTTCATGTGGGAATCAATGCTCGCAGAGACATCGAATGAGTTCCCAGTTTCACTTTTATGAAACACTATCGCCTCCTATTGTCTTTCAAATTGAGTACCACCACTGACCACACGGCACGAGGCAGTGGAGATGCCAGCTTGAAGCGTCAAAAATACGGTTAAGTAAGGAACGCACTGAGCATCCTGGTTCAACGACTTGAGTGAGGAGGTCACTTTACTTCCGACAGGCAGTTTTAATAAAGGGAAAAAAAAGTGGAGATCTAGCCTGAAGCTATTGCAGGAACGTCAATCTAAGTCAACCTACTAGATTTCACCATAGCCCACACTGGTCAGAGGAGGATTAATGGAAAGCCTCATGTCACCCGATCAACAGGACAAAGCTGACGCATGCATGTGCCATGTATCCGAGTGTCAGGTCAACCGGCTTCCAGCCAGTCGTTGTCTGGGCCAGTAGCGACGCCTCGTCATTAAGCTGTTGCGATGCTCTATAAGAAATAAACTGCACCCTTTTCGAAAATAATCAAGCCATTCTTATTTTTTTGTTACAGACTTGTTATGTATGCACGCCAGCTTTCAGTAGGGTTTAAAGCCAGCTGGAAACAGGTAGACGGCAAAACCTAGCCCACGCGTCCTTCATGAACTCAAAGTGGGGCAGACTGGCACCCAGCGGCCCAAAGACGCCGTCGTGATCTTAACACACCTTATTGCTTTTTTCGCTTTTCTTACTAACTTACACAATCAGCGAAGTAAGAGTTACAGCGGTGAAGTAAGGTTGCTTTTGCACTGCCCGAATTTGGAGGGGGGGGGGGGGAAGAAAGGATCCAGAGAACAAACCAAACGGGTTCAACCTCACAAAAAACAGCCAACCGTGCGTCTGGAAAGTGACAATAACTGAAACACGCCATCACACCACAGGAGTATAAAAAGTTAAAACGTCTGCTTAACCTTATGAGTACAAGTAGCGACCACAACTGAGCCCGGGTGTGGTCACGTGGATGAACTTTTAATCTCATCACGTTCAGGTGACAGCTCACCACACACTTTTGAAAGACAACAAACAAACACAACAAAGTGGGAAGAAATCAAACAAAACACTCAACAAAATCAGTATGAATGTATATATGCCTGTTACTCCAGCAAGATAAAATCTATGGTACAGTGAGAAGGGGAGGAGGAGGAGGAGGAAATTAAAACGGGGTAGGAGTGAGTCGTTTCAGGGGGGAGATGTGTATATTTTCTGGATAATCTAAACCGGTTGAAGATCGCTTTCTCGAGGCATTCGAGGGAGCGACAAGGGGATTGGAGAGGTGTGTCGAGGCTGTGGGATGGTTCTGATCGAAATTTCTGTGGGCTTCACTACCCGGCACAACCGTCGTCAGGTTAGTTAGTCCTAGAATCAAAAGGAAGAGAATAGAATATAGTCAAAGAAGAAGTCTGCATTGGAAATGACTTGATACTAACCACTAGAAGTATGTACAACCGAAGGCGAGGAGATTGGAATCTGTTCTTCGGGAAAGATAAGTGGAAAAGGAGGTGGGAATATTGGTTCATGGGAGCCGAAGTCGTCAAAGGGGTCCTCTTCGTCGATGTCAATGTCGTCAGAATCGGAGTCATCCTCTCCTTCTCCCTCCTCCTCTTCATCACCAATATCAGCCGTTACGTTGTTAGAAGGTTGCCAGATGTCGGAGTTAAAATCCTTACCCACGCCTTCAAGCGTAGAAAGCATAGACGGATCACCGGATAGGGGAGAATATTCCTCTGAAGCCAAGTATATCTCCTCTTGAGAGGCGTGTGAAGCGAAAGGAAGCTGAGTAGGTGGCATTTGCGGTGGTGGTAGTGGTGTTGGATATTGCCAAAGAATTTGTCGTGCCTTGAATAACGTGAATGCAATTAACAGGCCTCGTTTCAACTCCAGTCCAGTTCGTGACCGCTTTCCCTTATCCAACTTGCGAAGAGAGGAGAGAAGCACCTGTTCGGCTGTCTCTCGGCTCTCCAACATCTGAAATGGAGGGGGCGCGGCGGCTTGAAAGTATTCAGAAGGCGGAATAGCCTGCGGTGATGTCAACATAAGACCTGCGTATTTGCGTATGCGTTCACGGGAGGTATTGACGAGACTGCGCAGAACCGAGTGTAAGCTGCGTTCATTCGCGTGTAGGTCTGCACCAATCACCCACCTAGAAGGTGCTCAGCCGCCTGCTGATTGGTGCGTGCGTAGATGCGCACGTGTACGCGAGGGTGGACGTGCGCACGGGCTTATGCGTCATCGCGGGCAACGCGTGCATGCGCGGGGTTTAAGCTGCCGCGCTTTCTCGCTCTCGCTCTGGCACACGTGGTGGCGGGCGTTGGAGGCACACACTGGGGCAAGCAAATTTCGGGGATACTTTTGCGTACTGGGACGGCGCATTTTTCGTATTGGTATTACAGAACTACTTAGTGACTCCATTGACGTGTTTATTTTTAAAACGTGTAATCTTTTGTTCGAAAAAAAAACGTTGTGGTAGATGGCAGGGGTTATCTGACCCCTTTTCAATCAGTATAATTTTTAACTGGCCTCCTCCATGTTTGTGGCTCCTTTTGCATGATTTAATTTCATCTGTAAGAATTCGCAAAGAGATGCGGAATTCTTAATAAAGTTTTCCAATCTAGAAAATTGTGATTGTAGTGCTTTGATTGCCTTCGTTTTGGTCTCGCAGACACTTACAGCTGCGCCCTTTGTACTTTCACTGGACGACGGCCTCCGAGACATGCCAGAAGCCTCCTCAGACCTTCCGTATATTGCCAGTACATTTTCCACCCTATTATTGTGACCTCTCTCGCCCCTAGGAAGGACTCGGGGGCCTACGTTGGTGGCAGTAGGAAGCGGACCGGATCCTAAATAGCAGCCGCCCCAAAGGATAAATCTCAACGTGATGGAAGATGGGGGCAAATGCAACAGATGGGGGAATTTGTGACGATCCCCAATAAAAGGGTTGAAAATGACCTCCACCTTCGGCAACTGCCCCAGTCCCGGTTTCTGGAAGAAGGCGATTAACAATTGAAGCGACACTAGCCGTGAATCCTCTGCAAAAGTGCGTTACGGAGTTGCCTACCTCACCTGAATGAAGATGACAAGGAGGTAAACACGCGATACCTCCTCCACCTCTCCACTGTCTTGGATAGAAACCGACAGGTTTGTGGCTGGGCAGCAGACTGAAGTGAGAACAACGTGGCAAGGCAGTACAGACGCGAAGATGCCACTTTTACTTTTTAAAAATAACCTTTTTTAAACCAAATTAGTAATCCACTGTAAATAGAGTTATCAAATTTTGGTTTTGTTTTCTTCTACCTCTTAACAAAAGAGAAATCCAAGAAAAGTTAAAAGTACAGAGATAGAAAAGTCCTTTCTCAAAAATAGCTTCAATTGTCTTTTCTTTTTTAATCCACTGATATTTAACGCGATTAGTAGATTAAAAATTCAGCAGTCTAGAAAAAAGTGGTTGAAGTATTCTGCTAAAATGACAATGAATTGAGAGGGCCAGTGTTCCACTGACAAGGCCGTTTAATGTCACCACTAAAGAGATACTTTATAAGGAATTAAATGACTGGGAAAATAAAAGGAGGCTGGCGGAGAATTGGAGACGGATGGGGTTATTTGTAAGCAAAATATTATTTAATTAAATCCAACCCAGTTGGATCCACAAAGAATGGCCCATTTGAAAGGACCGCGAGGAGGTTTCGCATTTCACCGTACAGTTGTAGCGCCTTCACCACTTTCACAGAATGCAGCAGAACGGCACCGTGGCATGATGATGTCGTATCCATGTCTGTGGTCCCCTGACGGTGGTCCACTGGTGATGGCGACAAGCAAACTTCATCGCTTACCACACGTAGTTGTCAGGTCAAAAGAACTTTTGAGAAGGACGGGGGATTGACCCCATTTCAACATTCAGGCCACGTCCACC